CCCCCCCTTTCTTCCTTTACCTTGCTGGCTAGTTCAAATTTCAATTGTTGTATCTCGTCTGTTTGAAAGATAAGTTTCTCGTTCATATTGGCGAGGTGTTCGCTCATAGTGTTGAGCTGCGACTTGTAATTGCCCTCTTGCGTTTCCTTCTCCTTTTGTAAGCCAGTGCAATTGGAAAGTGCTTCTAACAGTGTCGCCTCGCACTTCTCTCTCTTCGATTCACTCGTATCCAACTGAACGTGCATAACTTCGCTCTGAAATGCAAAAGACAGGAGGAAAGGCATATGTGCACGATGAGTAGTCCGCTAAAAATAAGATAAGAATAAAGATATATCTCTCTTTCTCTCGTTACATTAGCAGCCATGGCCAAGTTCTTGATGTGGCACATGTATTTTTCGTTGATCAGTTTTTCAATTTCCTCGAGGAAATAATCCCTGATCCTTAATTCGCGAGCTTCAATCTCTTCGGGCAACGCAAAAGGCGCGCTCAACTTGCCGACCTATTGGTAAAACACAAGCAGTAAGTAATGTACTAAAAGCGTAGCGTGCTTTTCGCAAAAGAAAAAGAGGTGAGAATAACACGTCACCATGTTGCTTATTTCCAGAGGTTTCAGCGCGTCATCACCGAAAGTCGATTCTTTTTGTTCTGTCTCGTCGAGTTTGATCTTGAGTATGTGATACTGAGCCTTCCAATGATTGAGCTCCTTCTCCAGATCGCATGACTTCGCATAGAGGAACTCGCTGTTCTCTTCCTGTAACTTTTGCGGCTTTCCCTCGCCGAGCGACTTGGAGGATCTCCGCGAAGCGGACGGCGAGGAAAACGGAGAGTGTTCCGTCTGACGATGATTCATTCCCCTCGCGTCCAAGTCGTAACCATCGCGCTTGCCTTCGTTGCTGGACCACGATACAGTTTCCTCTTGTTTCTGCCTGTCGTTCAGCTTCCTCTGCAAGTCGTTTCTCTCTCTCTCGAGCTTATCTATCGCGCCCTGATACTGACACTCGGACTCCACCTTAGACTTTTCGCATTGGTCCACTTTATATTCTAGCTGTTGTATTCTCTCGTACAAACTTTCAATCTCGCTGTCTTTGTCGCTGATTTGTGATAGCAATTGAGCATTCTCCACTATCTTCTTCTGAAACTCTTCGTCTAAGATGTTGTTCGGCGGCGCTGGAATCTGGCTGTTGTTTTCCGGCGTCTGCTTGTTCCTGCCCTTCTTGGGCTTGTTCTGCGCCTTATCAAGCTCCTCCTGCAGCACAGTTATACGCTTTGTCAACTGCTGATTGCGAAACGTCAAACTGTCCAATTCCTGCTCGGCTCTGCGAAGTTCCACCTCCTTCTCCTTCAGTTGGTTTCGAATATCCGTGTTGCGTGTTTGCTCGTCTATCACAGCCTTCTTCAGAACATTTGCTTGCGCACGAATCTGCAAAGGTATTTCCTCTTTAACACATATGAGGTATGTACCTACACGACGCCAGGATAATCAGATTTTGTTACAGCGGTGTCTGCTATAAATCTGGCCAGCAGATTGTTAGCAGAAATGTAACAGAGTCTCCCAGCAGAATATGGCAACAGATCAAAAACCATTTAAATGTATGCAAATGAAACGTACTGCAGACCCTGCTTAATTTGTACCACCAATCTGCTGTCAAGCTATAAGTTTATTTTTTTATCGCTGAACTGGCTGCATTAACTTGCAATAATTTTCTTCTCTCCTCCTTCCACCAAGTGTACAACTCTTTTATTTCCTACATTTTGTGAGTGTATACTAGTTCAGTGATAAAAAAAACATCTTATGTCAGCAGCTTCTGCCAGCGGATTCAACACAGATGGCTGTATTACGATATTCAAGTCTGCCGGCAATATTGCCTAACATTTTGCTTATTGACTTATTGTACGTATTGGCACGACGATAAACCGTCGAGTATTCAATGTATCGCAGCTGTAATTCAATAGCAAACTACCTTTGCACGTAGGGACGTTACAATATATCTGCGCGAGTGTGTCAGTATTGCGTTATCTAGAGAGAGAACGCCACTTTGTAGACAGGAATTAGCGCTCGCGCGCGCTAGCGTGCGATACGTCTCATAAATATTCTGGTATTGCGTCAGAGCGACGTTAGAGAAAAACCTAGAAAATGCCTCACTTTTGAGTATTCCGTGGCGATCTTCTGATACTTGGTCTGCAGCTGACCGTTGACACCCTCCATATCTTGCCGTTTGGACCCGTCTGTGGCTCGTTCACGAGCCCTGTCGCGACTCAGGCGTATTATTATTGACACCTGGACATCGTACGCGAGACTCGTCGACACTGTGCCGAGTGCACCGGAACACTCATCACGCGTTCCTGGCGCTCGACGTTCCTGATCGTTCGCGACAACCGACAGCGATCGACGGCGGTCGAGTCGCGGCCAATCGCAGCCGGAGAGGAGAACGTCACGTTGAGCCGCGAGAAGCCGTATCGCGCTCCATCAAGTGCGCGACGTAAACCAAAGGTACACGCGGCCTTGTGCAAACCGCCGACACTCCGACCGAAGCGAACGTACGTACGTGCGTGCGTGCGTGCGTGCGTGCGTGCGTGCGTGCGCTCTAACAAAACGCCCCCGGTATGATACGCGCGATACGTCCTCCGCGCCCTCCGTGCGCGCAGTCCCGTGAGTTCTTGTCTGTCTCGCGCGACTTGCGCGAACGTCGCTGTCAAGATACACTCAGCCACGTGTACTACGCCTTCGCGTTTCAAGCAGTCTCGCCGCGGAATGCGAGTCATGATCAAGCAAGTTACAACTTGCTTGACAAAAGAAAATACATTTCCTTAAAATTCTCTCATGTATTCCCCATCGTACTCGTATAAGCTCGTCCAGCTGCTAGATACGCAATAAACGGACGAGTGTCTGGCTATCTTTCAAAATTACTGACAGCGTTGAAATTACTTTTCAGCGCTGGCAATAAAACGCAGCTTCAGTTGGGCTTTGAAATTTTTCTTTCTTTTTTTCTTCTTGCTAATTAGAGTATACGTTTGTTATACTGTAAATGCGCACGTGACATAAACAGATTTAGGATACGACGCGACGTTACGTTATGCGACGTGCTGGCCTAAAATTACTCCACCATGTAGACGATGCTGATTGTAGTACGCGATTGGACGGAAGCTAGCTGTCAATGTACTTTTGAAATCGATAACTTGTGTAGACGCGGTTGGCCGGTATGATATCATCGTAAAAGTGCGCGCGCCACGAGTGATAATCTCGCTAAAGATAAAGAAATTAATATGAAAATTAATGGATACATTTTACTCAACATCAAGCAAATACCAGTTTCGTAAATTTCAAAACGCAGACAATCGATATGTTTATCTTCGTTTACGATACTGCACTAAAGATGAGATTGAAATTTGAACAATTTCCACTTTTCATTCAACGGAATAATAAGATGTCATTGCTATCGTAAATTTCTTTTGTTTATTCTGTTTGTTTTTATAAGAAAAATAACGTCGTTGATTCGTACTTTTAGAAAATAAAAACAAGTAGGTCTCTACCTTGCAGCAAAACCAGATAGATTAGCATTTGATCCGTTATTATGCTGTTTGAAAAGAAAAGAGTATCAACTTGCTGTCGTAAAAATCGTAAAAATGCCTGATTTGAATTGTATTACAGCTTCGCTTCTTCATTATAGAGTTTCTCTAGTAAGGGTGCCATTGCATGAAGCGCGGAAACGCGGAAGACAAAATCTTACTAGATTTCCGCGTTCCGCGAATTGAATCATTTCTTCTCGTACGTTGAAAAAGCGGAAAACTTTTCTCTATTGTCTTTTCATCCAAGGTATCAAGGTATGAATTCTAAAAAAATATCAGGTCCGGACGTGTTTGAACACGTCTCAATGTAACGGCGGTTAGGTTGAACAACTTGTGATAACTTGTGACAATGGATTTTTTCGCGTTTGTTCCGCGACTTTATTTTTCCTTATATTACATGGAGTACAATTTGCGCGGAAAATGACACTCTCAGGATGCCATTATATGAAGCGCGGAAACGCGGAAATGCGGAAGACAAAATCTTACTAGATCCGCTACGCGTTCCGCGTCTGTTTTGATTGCCTTATATTACATGAGGCATATTTTGAGCGGAAAAGCGGTATGGGGAATTATAAAATATTAATTTTTAACGGTATTAATTAAAATGCTTGTACTCAAAAGATAAGCTGAAAAGATAAACATATTAGTGAAAATTGCAGTAAATTAAGTTCATACAATTTTAAAAAATGCATACAGATGTTTATTTGTCACTAAACCGTTCCGCTTTTCCGCGCAAATTGTGCTCCATGTAATATAAGGAGAAATAAAGTCGCGGAACAAGCGCGGAAAAATCCATTGTCACAAGTTGTCACAAGTTATCATAAGTTGTTCAACTTAACCGCCGTTACATTAAGACGTGTTAAAACACGTTCGAACTTGATATTTTTTTAGAATTCATACCTTGGTACTTTGGATGAAAAAACAATAGAGAAAAGTTTTGGACCTTCCGTTTTTCCACTTTTTCAACGTACGGGAAGAAATCATTCAATTCGCGGAACGCGGAAATCTAGTAAGATTTTGTCTTCCGCGTTTCCGCGCTTCATGTAATGGCACCCTAAGGCAATCAAGGCTGCGTTCGGAAACGTGGGTGTATATCAGTTGGATACGGGGCAATTGGACACAGTCCAATCACAAGTCGCTGTTCCAAGGGACCCTACAAATGTCTCTAATCACACGGTGCTGTGATTGGCTGTGTCCAAATGCACCGTGT